CTTGGGAGGAGGAACCTTTCAGCTCATTCAGCTCTTGCTGAATTTGGAAAGCCTTTGTCTGAGCCTGGGCCACTTCAACTTTCTGGATCAGCAATTGATCCTCAGCCTCTTGGAATTTAGCTCTTTGGGCTTCAGCAGCAGCAGCAGCCTCTGAGAGTTGGACGTCTTTGGCCAGGAGCAACTCTTCAGCAGCCATTCGGCTGGCTTCAAGAGCCTCTAGACGCTGCTGCACTTCAGCTTGTGCAGCAGTTCCTTCTTGAATTCGGCTCTCAACGGCAGCCTTGAATTTGGAGACGTCCACTCCCATATGCTCCTGGAGGAATTTTTCCCCTTCCATCAGTGGGGGAAAAACTTCCTTCTCCATAGCATCGCAGAAGGTTTTCAGGGCTTCGGCAGCTTTTTTCCCGTACTCCTCAACCTCCTGCTGCTTCTCTTCAGCTGCTGCTTGCTTCAGCTTAGCAAGCTTAACTTCCTCTTCAGCCACCTTCTTTTCGTGCACAGCAGCGTCTACCCTATCTTGTAGGGTATCTATCAGCTCTACAGTGAGAGTCTGATTGTGCACGAACTGAAAACAGGAAGACAAAAAAAAATAAATAAAAAAAATATATATATATATATAAAGAGCTGAATTTCGGAGGAAATGAAGGAAAATTACCTGCATCATCAGCAGTTGGTTAGACCTGGCTGGGTCAGGAACTGATCTGCTGGATTCGCCCATCCCAGCAGTGGCCTTCAGCGACCAGATCCTTGCCCTGTCTACTTCGGACATGCCAGCAAAATTGCCGAAGTAGGCTGCAGCTCCTTCTCGGTTTTGACCCCATATGAGGTCCCAGATGTGATCTGGGATTGGAATTCGGGGGGCCGAGAAACCCATTTCTCCAGAATGCAGAGTCTGGAAAGAAGGGAAGGATGACGATGGAGCTTGATTAGCTTTGGTTGTCTCAGCATCATCCTTCTCAGAGGAGTCAATTACTATGACCTCCTCTTCTTCAGGGGTGAGGACGAAAGCCTCAACCTCTCTTGCGATGTCTTCCGTGAAGCCCTCAGCGCTGGACATCACGGCATCCTTATTTTCGTGCTCATCAGCACTCTTCTTCATTTCTTCTTGGACCCCTCCCTTAGGTTCGGGAGTTCTCTGATCCACCTCCATCTCAGGAGGTGGCGGAGGGGTCTTTTGAGGAGATTGGGGTGTTGGCTGGGGAACCCTCGGCGATCCATTGCCTTCCTCAGGCTCCCTTATTGCGACGCCGATGGTCATCGGCCTCTGCTGAAAGTCATGAGGGCCGATGATGGCCATCCTTCGGCGCCTTTTCAGAAGGGGCTGCTCGTCCATATCTGAGTCTGAAGACTCTTGTATTTGGTCTTCGAGACGAACAGGAGCTTTGCCTTCTCTGTGTCTGTTACTCTCTTCAGACTGTAACAGACAGGGGGGAAGAAGAATGTGAGTAAAAAAAAAAAAAAAAAAAAAAAAAAAAAAAAGTTGTCTGAAAGCTCACCGAGGTTTTCAGCAAAGCCTCGTCTTCTTCAGCTGCTCTAGCTGCAGCTTCGGCTTCAGCAGCTCTGGAGGACCCTTCTCCTCCTTCGCAAGCCTCAAGTACCCGTGCAACCTCTTCGGCTGTGCGGGCAGCTTCAGCTTCTTCGTTCAGCAGCTGAAACCAAGGGTCTCTCTTCTTCCACCAAGGCTTCTGCCTCTGATACAGAGCAACAGCCTCAATTTGGAAGTGGGAAGAATCCAGATGAACTTCCCTATGCCTCGGCTCAGTGATAGACGGGGCCCGTTCAGTTACAACTCGCTCTCGGTTAACACCAAGACGAGCGTAGTTAATACCAACGTTGGTCTCGTCCCGCTCTGAAAAAAGGAAAGGGAAAAGTTTAGCTCAGATATGTCGGCACAGCATAAAAAAAGCAAAGCGAGAGAAGAAAAAGAGGTAGTTAAAAAGCCTCGGCCCCAGCCGAAGAAGCTTACCATCCTTAAACTTTCGGCTGAGGCCAACAGCTGCTAGCATGTTCTCTTGGAAAACGTAATGCGTATCGGGGAGCCAAGTCTCCGGGATATGCTGCATTCGACCACTTCCCCCCGGGTTCGGCAGCTTGCCGAAGATATGTTGCTGATCCAGGTTCGGATCCGCCCCGTTATCTGCGGGGGGACCTAGACTTCCCATTTCGGGATCAGGCTCAGCTAAGTACCGGGGAGCGCTGAAGACGCAAGGGTGGCCCGGATCTGTGGGTGCCCTAACCCAAATCCATTGACCTCTCCAGTCCTTGTCTGAAGAGTCATTTGGCCACATGGTCAAGTATTGGGGCCGGGACTCAATCCGATACCACCCAGAACCATGGCTTCCGTGCCCACTTTGAATATTTGGCACTAGCCGATGGAGCTTTCTGAAGCAGTGCAGGTTCGGCACGTACTTGAAGAACTTGCAGACCCATAAGTACGTCATCACCCTTCGGATGCTGGTGGGGGTTAGCTGACATAGGGAAATGTTGTAATGGATCAGCAAGTCTCGGACGAAAACGTCCAAAGGGAACCTCAGCCCATACTGAAGCTGTCTCGTGTACACCCCCACATACCCCGGGGGTGGACGATGGATTCTATCGGATGCTGAGGGCATTCGGCACCAATATCCATCAGCTTCAAAAATGCCGTAATGCAACTCAATTTGCTCGGCAAATCGATATTGATCGGCGTTCTCTACCCACCATGAGTAGGGACGGTTCTTTATCATGGCCGAAACGACTTCGGCATTCTCCCACTCTGAAAACCCAGGGAGGATATCCCAAAGGACAGCGGGAACTTCATCATCCCGTCCAGAAGCGCTCGGCTCATCCGTTCTTTGAGGAGGAGCCGAGGAAAGGGGAGTCGCCCTAATCCCTTCAGCAGGGTCAGACTCCGGCCTTTGACCATTCCAGGTCCCAATCCTGTTCCTAGGATCGGGAATCGGCCTTGCTCTTCTTGGAGCACGGGCTCTACCTCTAACTCCTCTTGCCATGGATTATTTCGAAGAGAAAAGTCGAAAGAAAAGGGGAAGGAGTTCGAATTCGAAGAAAAATAAACTGAAATAAAAGGAATTTACCTTAATCTGAAGCGAAAGTTGCCGATTTACGAGTTCGTAGTGGCAAGTCTCAGTTTCTAAGCTCAATGCTCGGGGAATTTGCGAAGTTTTGATGCGGGTTCTTGGTTTCTCTCTCGAGGAAGTCTGGGTTCGTGTCGGTGAATAAGTGAGGAGAATGACGCGCCTCTGTTTATATCTTCAGGTACGGGATACGAAGAGTCTGTGCTTTAATTTCTCTTAAATACCCACTAAGTAACCATTAAACACATGTCTTGTGATTAAACTGCCCATTATCCGTCCAACTTCCGCAAATCATTAACCGTTGTTATCTCATTAATTACGGTTTAAATTCAAATTTTTGGATCAATTAAATCATTTACTTCCCTCCTTTTCTGAGTTAAATCAAACCCGACCCGTCATCCTTCCAAATCGGGTCTGGGGGGCAAGTTGTTTGGGTCCAATTTAGTCAGAATTGGGCCTAAGCACTAAATGATCCAATTAAAAGCCCAAGGTCAAGGTTCAACTCTCCAATTGCACAAAAGTCAAAGGTCAGCCCACAAAGCATGCCAATTGGGCTAAGGCCCAACCTCACCATGTATGATGAGGTATAAAAGCCATCATATTGACACATTGATGGGGGGACGTTCAGATTCATATGCTCATTCTTGCATTCAGAAATATTCCACAAAAGCCTCAAGCTACAAACTCTCTTGCATAGTGTCTTCCTTTTACACATTGTACTGACTTTAGCATCGGAGGGCCTTCCTCGGAAACACCCCCGAGGCTAGTTTACGTGTGTTCACTGTGCAGGAAACCTTCGGCCCAACACAACTTGGATCGAATCCAGTCTTCTCCATTTCAGCGGACCTTCGGCAAGGTCCCATTGTTTTCAACCGAAACAAGAAGTAAATTGTTTTGGTTATTTTTAATTATTTTGAATTTAAAGTATTCTTAATTTTAAGATTGAATTAATTTAGGGTTATTATTCAAAATTTTTAGATTGAACTACTTTGATTGTCGAATTGAAATTGAATGCTATAAAATCTATCAATTTGATGCAATGTTTATTATCTACTATTATACTATAAGGGAAGTTTTGATAAATGTATAACGCTATTTAAAAATATTAAAATGTATAATAAGGGTTGAATTTGGTGAAAATATGTGTTGATTAATGATTTGTGTCAGAAAAATAAAGAAGAGATATAGAAGAATGAACAGCATATAACAATGTGTTGTGTGGGAAAAGAGTGAAACAGATGTTGATTATGCATATCAAATAGTAGTAATAAACATAGGAGAACATGTATTTAAAAAGGATTATGTTTGATCAAGGATATGATCATACGTGATACGCCATTAAGTTAATGCTCCCAGCCCCAACATATAAGGATTTAGCAATTTGTGAAGGCTAATAATGATTTAGCAAGGTCAAAAGAATACATGATATGGTTTATTATAATATTGTTTAAGGATAATGGCTTTGGTTGCACACTGAACTACTGAACTTAGTTCTTTATTTATTATCTGATTATCATTAATCTATTTTAAGTGCCTTTGGTTTTTGGTAAAAAAATGACCAATGTATTCTTGAATCATTCACTAACCAGTTAAGCACTTAATTTCATCACTTATGAATTATCTATATTTAAAATGTTTTAATTGTTTGGTCTATTAATTGTAGTTATGGATTTCTTTACATTGTTATAGTGTGGTGTAATATTATTATGTAATTTTCACATATATACTGTAAGTAGTTTTTTTTTGTTTGTTTGGGTTTTTTTTTTCTTAAGATTCTATTTGCTTATTTTTAAGAGTATTTGCATTTTTGTTTGAACAGCATTTAATTGTACACAACTTTGATTTTGAGCAACCTATATCGTTAGTTTTTTAAAGCTTTGATTTCTAATATTTATTTTACACTTATATATGATTTTGTTTTTTTAGTGCTGATATGTCTAGATCGGGTGGAAAAGCACATTCAAAGTATGATTACATAAGCCAAAATGAGTATGAACAACAAAGTCTCGAGACAATTGAAACTAACAAGATTAGAATGAAGACATTGGGCATAAAGCGCATTACTGCCTGTTTGACAAGCTTAGTAAGTAGTTCGAAAGTTAAGAAAAGTAAGCAGAAGTACAATGTTTCCCTTGAGAAAGATGGTGATTATGTACCCGAGGAAAATGAGGAAGTTGAGTTCGAGCAAGAAACTCACAATGTGACTTCAAATAAAAAGTATTGTCTTATTTTTATAAGTTAGTTATTTTTATTTACTTTTCAAAGTTACAAATTATTAATTCCATACTTATACAATGGTAGGAGATTATACAATGAAGATGGCTAGGGATCGTATTGGAAGAAATTGAAGAAAATAATGTCTTTTTTTCAAGCTAAGCTTAGAGTTTTAATGAAAACTCTTTGTTATTTCACTTTATCAAATGTTTATAACAAGTCATGTAATTGTATTGAAGCTAGCTAAGTTATTTAGTAATAACTTAATTACATTTTTTAGATCAATAATGTAATGACTATTCTATTATAAATAAAAAAAATTTAGTTTAATTTAATGAAATCAACATTGTTAATCATAAAATTGGATACTCTATGAATAAATTGTGTATATCTGATTTAAAACCAATGTATGTATTAGAGGCATATATTATGTATTGTACTATTGTGCCTCCAAAAAAAATTCTCGTCAATTTTTATTTGCATCAAATATCATTAGCATTAATATACAAATTGCTTCTAATTATATTTTGTGACAAAATGATATGACTGCCCCTAAATGCATATGTTATTTGGAAGCAAATTTTAATGATGCCCCAAATCATATATTGAGGCAAAATTATATGGTCGCCCTTGAATATATATGGTATTTTGTAGCAAGCTTTTATAATGCCTCTAATTATATTTAGAGGCAAGATTATATGGTTGCCTCTAAATATATGGGTTTTTAAAAGCAATATATTGTATTGCCTCTAAAAGAGGCTTTAGGGGCATTCCATTAATTAGCGACAGACTTATTAAGGGCACTTACTTTGTTGTCTCTAAAAGTAATTAGAGGCCACATCACTATCATTTGAGGCATGTTTTTCTTGCTTCTGTAAGTAAATTTTTTTGTAGTGTTAGGTAAGGAGGTTTTGGGTTGGGGGTTTAGGGGTTAGCGCCGTAGGGGATGATGGGCAACGTCGAATCCGACGCCGGGGGTCTACGTGCGGCAACGGTTAGGGGAGGGGGAGTACCTGGGCGGTGGGAGGGGAATGTCAGAAAGTTGGTGGTGCGGTTGTTTTTTTTTTTAAGTTTCTTATTTTTTAATTAATTTTTTTTCAACCAATCACGTGATGACATGTGTATCTTAAACAAAATTTTTAAACCTCTTTAACAGGATACGGGCCGGTCACTTAAGACCGTTAAAAGTGAATAACCCCTAAAGTTTGGATTACGTACTTTAAGCAAACAGACAAAAGTTGGACCAGTTAAAAAAAAAAAAAAAAAAATCTGACAAAAGTGCTAGAGATTAGCTTGATTACAACAGTAAAAATGGCATAAAACGGATGAAGATGATGATTATATTGATTAGATGAGAATTACACTAAATTGGATGATAATTCCACTTTTGAGAGGTGGATGCTCTCCTAATATGAGCTTTCGAGAGGCTCACTCTCTCCCTATAACAAACTTCACACAATATGCAACATATCTTATTCCTCCTAATGAGGTCTATATATAGAAAATACCCCATAACAACCCTCTAGCTTATTCCTGAACTTACTAGTAATAAAGTATGACGCCGTTCTTTAGAGCTACTCTGTTTTGCTCCGCTGAGCCCTGCTCTACTCTACTTAAATCAAATATGCTCTGCTCTGCTTAAAAGAAATATGCTCTGCTCAGCTCTATTTTCAAATAATAATTAATAATAACAACAATAATAATTAATATTGTATTGATGATAATAATTTATTATTTTGAATAATTATAATAATTATTAATATTAAAAATAATTTTAATAATTATTAATATTTATTAATCATAATAATAATTATCAACAATAATATTTAATACTACAAACTATCTATTAAAAATTAATATTTAATATTATTAATTAATAATTTCTAATAATTATAACAATTATTTCAAAAAAATAAATAATAATAATAATAACAACAATTAATAACAATATCTTTTATAAACATTTGATATTAGAATCACAATGTGTAGAAACATTTTATGTGGGTATTGATTGTTGTTTTATTGAGTTGAATTATTTTTCAAATCTTTCCATACATTTTAAGAATTAAAAAAAGAGGTTGTTTTCAAGTAGTACTTTGTATATTATTATTATTTTTAGGGTTAAAAATATATGATTAAGGCAAATTTATAAGTATCATTATTACTCATTAAATCATTTTATTTTAAAATTTTTGTGAAATAAATATAAGTACACCATTGTCTTTTATCTTTCTATTATTAACATATGTTAAATATGGTACACATATATTTATGTTTTCACTCACCTTAATCTGTATGCACTTAATAATAATAATAATAATAATAATAATAATAATAATAATAACAATAATAATAATAATAATAGGGTAATGCTATATATAGCCCTTAGGGATACATATAACCATTAAATATACCCTTGAAAATTGTATAAAATTAGGGATTCATGACAAAAACACGCACAAATCAATGTAATTAGTGTGTTTTTCTAGAGTATTTTTAATGCTGATATCTTAGGGCTATGTATAACATTTTCCTAATAATAATAATGATAATAATAATAGTATTAGTAATAAAAATAGTAGTAGTAGTAATAATAATAATAACAACAACAACAACAACAATAATAATAATAATAATAATAATATTAATAATAATAATCATAGTAATAATAATAATAATAATAATAATAATAATAATAATAATAATAATAATAATAATAATGATGATGATGATGATGATGATGATGATGTTGAAATCTGCTCTGCTCGGCTCTGCTCTGCTTTGCTGACCACTGCTCTGCCCTGCCCAGAAGCTCAAAAGAACAGGGTCATATGACTAGCTAATATGCCCTTCCCCTAAATATTGATTCCTTGCAAAAAGTTGGAATAAAATTGGAATTATTTTACTAATTTTTCCTCAATTGAATCAAAAATTGATGAAATAATAAGAAATATTCAAATCCATAATTACTTTATTTAACTTCTTTATATTTGGAATAAGCTAATAGTGGAATAGTGAGTAGTGACTATTACACTATTCATATGCCAAATTTGATCATGTTTTTAAACTCTATATTTTGTTTATTTATTTCCTAATATAAGGAGTATAAACAAATGCTAATATATGATGTATGTTATTATTGGATTAGTCGATATCAACATAGATAGAGTAGCAGTATCTATACTAATATATTAAAAGGCGTTCTTAAAAACGTCGATGTGCCACATAGTTTCTAGTTTGTTGTGCCACGTCATCTTCCCACCGTCTCATGATGCCACATCACCCAAGCAACTAACATTAGGGTATGTTCTCATACGTTTATTATTTTCAGAGGTTCGAACCCTCAACCTTTAATAACACATATGACTATTTAACCATTTAAGCCAATATCAACTATGTTATTTGTATGGAAAAAAAAATCATATAGTTACAAACCACAAGGTTTAATTACAAAAAAAAAAAAAAAAAAAAAAAAAAAAAAAAAAAAACAAAACATTCAAAGAATAACTGAATTTTGGTTTGACAATGACAATTGCAGTTTTAATAAGCCTTTTAAAAAATTACCGATTTTTTTTTTTGAAAATTACCAATTATACTTCTACAACGATAGCAACCCGGGGCAACGCCCGGGTCACTCACTAGTTTCTTTTTATAATACTAGGGTGGCCAACGCGCGCGATGCGCGCGACATGGCTAGGCAATGCGGAGAAGTTATCAAGGGTTGTCTTTGTACTAAAGATTTTAGCTTGTACATAGTTATGATTAGTAAGCATTTTGCATGTAAAATGTCTTATGCAATCTTTAAATACCTTGAAACTGATAAGAATCAATACAATGAACCTTTAGAAAGAGTAATAATCGACTATTAAGTACAAAATCATATATCCTTAACCTTTTCTTATGTATTTTAAAGAGTAAATAATAGCATTTACATGCTTTTCTTATAGAGTCTAGATGATTCTCTAGAATAAAATTTTGATACATATTACAAGCTGAAAAACAAAGAGAAGCAAACAGAGGAATAATGAAATTTTGCATCAATTTGTTCTTGGGTACCTTATGAGTAGTTAGGACTCTCAGGTGTTAAATTTTAGTTTTAGGTTTGGATTTTGCTCAAGTCCAATGCAACGTACATTTATACTTAGTATTGCTGTTAAGTCTAATATGATCATCTAATATAAAGTTTGATAGCTTGAACCCAATGTAACCAAAATAATAAAATACGGAGTAGCTTTTTTTTCCCCTCTCTTTGTATATTGGTCCAGGGGCTTTATTTTTTATTTTTTATTTTTTAATACTCTGTAATTAAACCCAATGTAAGAAGAGTTGAGTTATCCAATGCAGGCAAGCTTGAGCTCAGCTTAATTCAACTCAACAATAAAAAGAAATACAGTAAATCATTAAACAGATACTCATTAGATGCAGAGCATATAGAATTATTAGGATGCATCATATCAGAATCTCACCAGAAAAGTGGTATCTTCTCTTCTAACAAGTAACAATAAACCTTTAAGGTAGGTTAGGATTGATAAGAAAAATACTCACACCTCCTTTCCTTCAAATATAGAATATACATCCAGAGCCTAAGTACAAAGGCATTCTACTCCCTTTAAAAAACATGTACCTTGAAAAATTTCATCTTTTAAAGTTGTGGACTCTCAATTTACGCTCTTAATCCCAAAATTATAATCGAAATTTAGATGTCATTTGTATCTCATAACAACGAATCTAATAGCAATGTTGAAAGCCATCTTTGTAAAATTCTACAATCCCCAAAATCAAAACCAAAGTACAATCTAAAGATCATAAATAAAAATCCTAAAAAATCTTATAGGGAAAAAATTAAAGTACCTTTTGATCGGATTTGTGGTAGCGCTTAACTGGACAAACCACAAAGTCACTGACAAATATTCATGAAATGATCAAATTGAAAGAATAGAAAGAGACATGAGGGGCTTCCATGGGGTAGTGCTCGGAAGTTGGTATATTTCCCTCGCTTATAGTGTTTCTGGTTCTCCATTCATTTCAATTATCTACTATATTTTTTTTTCTTTCAAAATCCAATCAAATTTAGGAGAAATAGATGAATACCCATACCTAAAATTTAAAAAGGATAATACCTTAAAATCTAAAATCAATCAAAACCTTATAAAACAATTGAAATTAAAATTGAAAAATACCTTTGAAGATTGTCTGTGACTTTGTGGTTGAAACTTGAAACCAATAATTCAACCGATTGAATGTGAAGATAAAAAAGTATGTAATAACATAGAGAAGATATACAATATTAAAAAAAAATTGTAATATTAAATAGGGGCAAATGCATAAATACACATTTTTGGGATTATAATTGTCACAACACTATTCATAAAAGCAAGATTCTATTTTTATAAAGTAGGGATATCATTCTTAGAAAAATGCCAAAACTCAAACACAAAGGTGGCGCAAAAATACGCTCCCCAATGAAGATAAATTCATAAAAATTGGGCAATAAAATTAAAAGGTTAGAAGTGGATTAGGGTGATGCTTGCCTCCAATTAATTAGGTAATTAGACAATGACGACAAATAAGCACCATGCCTCACGCTATCTTTCATTCATTTTCATTTTTCCACACTTGCTAAGCTAGTTTTTATTATGACAAAATCTCATGCAGCAAATTTATCTTTTGTTTTTCTAGAAGGCATGCTCCATAGTGGTTATTTACTTATTTTGATGATTTTTCAAGAGTTGGAAAAAAAATCAAATAGATTCTTAAATACAATAGTGGTTATGTTCATTTTTCAAAAATATTCTTCAAAAATCATGATTTTCTTTTACTTGTTCAACTTTTAATTTAGCAAGTAAATGATAAACCGAGTTGTCAAAGAAATTAAATGATCCATTATTCCTTTGTTCATATTTGAAATGGATAAATATGTGAATGTAAATGACATTTAATTGATCTATTGATCTTTAGTTTGCAATGTTGATTGAGAATAACTTCATAATTAAAAGATTACAACCCTAGGGGCCGAAGGTTGTCCGAGATGGGGATGTATAATAAAGATCGATGTTATTATTGAAATTAAAATATTAATTTTGTGAAGTGAGCACAACCTTGCTTTAACTTTGTTGTCTTTACATTAAACATAATGTTTATTTAAGCTCTAGTTTAGGTCTTTCTAATCTATTGGAATTTTTGGATTGGAATGATTGACGCTTATATTTATTTGACTAAAATTTAACTGTATTTTACGCAATACATAAGAAAAATCTTAAGAATTTCCAAAATTTCGTTGATGTTCCATAAAATATTGGAGTACTAGTTTTCAGTAAATAAATATGATTCCCAAGATCCATTGACAAGTTGAAATCAAATGAAAGATCTAAATCAATTAAGGCTCTGTTCACTTCAACTCATTTTTAATCGCTGAACTGGATTTTTTTTTTTTTTTTACTAATATATATATATTTTTTCTTTAATACTTATTTTTACTAAATTAGGCCTTGTTCTCTTCACCTTAATTTTGCTGAACTAAAATTATTTTTACTGAACTGAAATTATTTTTGCTGAACTTAAATTATTTTTACTGAACTGAAATTAATTTTACTGTTATTTTTACTAATTTTCTATTATAATTCTTCTTTAATAAAACTGAATTTTGCTGAACTGAAATTATTTTTACTGAACTGAAATTATTTTTACTGAACTGAAATTAATTTTACTGAACTGAACTTATTTTTATGAGACCAATCCAACAAGATCTCACATGCCTATACTTTGCTTAACGTATAAATCATATTATATGGTCAAACAAGAGTGTTGAATAGTGCAAAAAGTCCATTGTTGCAATATTAATAGAACAGAGGAAGTATTTTTTTTAAGGTGAAGAGAACAGGGCCTTAGGGTGTGTTTTATTTGCCTGATTTATCACAACTTATTTGAATTTAACTTAACTTATTTGAACTTATCAGTACTCCTGAACTTATTTTTCTTAAACTGAACTTATGTTTTATTAAACTGAACTTATCTTAACTTATCCAGCTCAACTTAATTAGTGACAATAAGATGACTAAAAGTCCTAAAACACACCATTGCTAAACAAAACTTATTTTTAATGAAGTGAACTTATTTTGTTAAGAGAATTGAACCAGATCTAAGCTAATCCTTTTTTTTTTTTAAAACCACCATAAATTGACTCCTAGTATGAGTAGTACAGTAATTATTTTTGCGGTTAAAACTCAAAAAATTCGTTTATACTTGCATTATTATTCCTCCCATTTGATTGTCCTCTCTTTTCTACATTGCCGTCTCTCTGTTTTCAAATCCCTTTTTTTTTTCTCTCTCTAAAAACAAAAACACTTTCTCTCTCCTCCTTTTCCAGCCAACTCTATATAAACCCCTTCATTGACGCCAAACTCATTTCACACCGCGCATTTTCAAACCCCTTCTTTCTTTTCTTCCAACAATCAACACTTTAAAAAACAAAAAACAAAAAACAAAAAAATCCTTTCAAAAAAAAAAATGAAGGTTGAAAGATCATCATCTTCACCCAAGTGTGGTGATTGTGGTAATTGCAAAACCATCTTCGTCGTCGATTCCGACAACAACAACAACAACAACAACAACAACAAGCAGGAATATAATAAGCACCTTTATAATGCTACTAATGTTGGTATTTTAGATGATGTTAATCATGATTATTATGATCATCTTAAAGATCACTTCTTCGTTCCGCCATTGAATTTTTCCTTTGTTGACAATGGCGTCTTTCGGTCCGGCTTCCCCGAACCTCCCAATTTCCCTTTCCTTCAATCTTTAGGTCTTCGTTCTATTATGTAAGTTTTGCTTTACACTCTCTCTGTTTATTTCGGTTAATTTAACCATCAGTTCGAGTTTTTGATTGAGTTGGTACTTTAACAATTCGTCTGTTAGTTTCTTTTGAATGTTCTGATTTAAAGTGTCTAGTCAAACTTTTGACTATTATTCCGTATTATTAGCTTAGTGAATAATATTGACATTGTTCTTGCTACAATTTGATCTTAGAAATAAAATATGGTCTAATTATGATTTGTGTTGATTAAATTGGTCCTAGATATTTGTGCCCGGAACCATATCCTGAGACGAATTTGGAGTTTATCAAGAATAATGGAATCAAGTTATACCAATTTGGAATTGAAGGACACAAGGTAACAACTTGTTTTTGCATCTCTATATTTAATTACCTATGGTCGAATTAATAAGTAGAGTTTAGATGTACGCAATCTTACCTGGCTATTGTTGACATTCTTAAATTTGAGTTGTCAATTTGAATTTCTGAAATGATTTATTTAGATTAGATAAGATTCGATTCAAATCACAACAGTTTACCGACGACCTTTGATATTCGAGTTTAGACATTATTTCGTTTGTTTGTCGAGAAGAATTATCCATACACGGTATCCAGCACACAAATTCGACACACTATGTGCCACCTGTCATCTTCTAATTGGTTATAATCTTCTAGAATCACAGTCATAAACCGGTCATTTAAACTGTACTTTGATTATCATAATCAAAAGATTTATACTATCTTTGTTAAAATAGTATGTTTAAAGGAAGCTAACTAAGATGGTCATAATTTATTTTTTATTTTTATGATGTAATTAAAAATGGTCCTTATATTTATATGTAAAGAGGAATATATTGGTCTATTTGTCGATTGCTGCGACAACTAAAAATTATAATCAAAGAAGGATTTTTTTAAAAAAGAGCGATGAAAAAGGAGGATCTTTAAAAATAGAAAATGGAATATGCCTTCAGGGTGTTTATGTATGTATGTACTAGCAAGTGTACATTTTTTGAAAATTTATGTGTTTTAGTAACGTTTTCTAGTCTTGTCACATGCTATCATAGAATGAGCATGGAATATTTCTGTCCTATTGAAATCATCTGCTCTATGATTGGTTCTTTATTTGCCTCCTTTGTAGATTTTTTTTTTTAATTTTTAATTTTTAATTTGAATTTCCCTTTTAGCCAGTTGCCATTGTAGATTTGTAGTACATGCTTGAATAGATGTTTTTATGCACGATCAATTCTACTCTTAAAGTGTCTCAAGTTGAAAAGGTAGAACTTACATGTTGTTACTTGTTAATTTGTTATTGTTCATGCTACTTTTATCACTTACGCAATATCTTCTTGGTTGTGCTGTTATGATTGATAGGGTGAATTAGTTGTGATTATCTTTAGAGAGAAGTTTTAATGAATTTAACACAGCAGTTGTTATAAGATTTTGAATTGGCTGCGCTATTTCAATTCACTTGAATTTAAAAGTTATCGAGACGTGTATGAACTTACTTTTAAAGGATTTGAAAATTATTTTTAGCCTTTCTAATAATTAATTTGATTAAAACCTTTTTATTTCTAAGGCGAAAAGAACAAAGCCATAAATAACAGTCCACTCGCATCAATTTGGTGACATCATGTCCATGGAATTATATAATACTAGGTACTTGGTCTATGTAGATCTCATTTTAGTTTGTCATATGTGTATTTATTTCCATGTGCAGATGTCAACTAAAAATAGGGAAAATGAAGTTGAATGCTTTAGTGAATCCAACAACTCAAAGAATATGCTGATTCAATTGGTTGTTTTGAGTTTAGCCCTTGAGTGTAATGCGGCTTCACAGCCCATGGTGACTAATCAATCTCTAATCATGGTTAGCCCCTAGATTATAATTAATTAGCTTCAATTCGTCACTTAAATAATCTCTACACTTTAAACTACGAGTATATTTATAAATTAAATATGAAAAGGTTTACATGATTTATACCCTTGTACTTTTACAAAATTCACGTGATACCCTTTACATGTAACTAACATCCAGTCGTCCACTTCTAAACTTTTATAATAAGCACATAGTATGGGAAATATTATATTGTTGGGTTCTATTGAATATGTTAATATGGTAGAAGAGCTCCAATTTTTTTTAATTTTTTTTAAGAAAAAATGTTAAGGCATTAAGGGTCTTGTTAATATGATAACTTGTCCCGTTCAATGATGATGATTTTGTCACTTAAAATGATAAATTGTTAGCTTGCTAGCTACCGTGTTCGTGTTGGTAATTACAATCAATTTATAGCTTCTAGAGTCTTCTAAAATGGCATGCAATAGGAGTTTGGATTGTGTGTTTAATTATTTTTATTTATATAGCCTTAAGCCCTTAATGTTTTTCATGTGGTTCAAATTGATAATTTGCGTTTAACATATAATGACCTAGAAAGAACTAAAATAAACATTTAATGAAAGTAATTGGCAAGAATTATTTTGGATAGGTTCTACGTATTAAAAGCTTAAAACCATTCCATTTGCGAACTAAATGCATGTGATGAGAAGACAAAAAAAAAAAAAAAAAAAAAAAAAAAAGGTAAAACTCCCCTTATAATCTATTATTAGCAAACTCGAACTTAGAACCTCAAAGTCGCACCCAAAAATAGACAACTTTAATCTAATGATAAGAGAAATGATGTTTAAGAAGTTTCTAATTTACCTAAACAATGGTCCCCTAAATTTGATTGATGCATGTTTTGCTGGTGTCAACTAAACTGAATAATTCAATACTTACCTCATCAATGACGAGTTAAAGTGTATATAACAAACATAGGATGGCTTCTTTTTTTCTTTTTGTGGTGGCCGATTTAATTTATTTTTATTGCTTGAATTTTATTTAACTATGATTTTGTGGGTTCATGTTAACTGGAATCTGATCAAGCCACCACTTTATTTCCTACCTCTTTAATTCCTTTTCCAATCACTTGAAAGTTACAAATTAAATCTTTTGTACTATTTCTTCCTTGTGTTTTATATATCACTCAGTCAGCTGTAAAGGATTAATTTAAAGAAAAGAAAATGACATTTGTACAAGTAGTACTCATATAACTTTTCTTACTACTTCAATTCATTCCGCCAAACTTACATGTTACGTTATATACCTGTTAAAATTTAACTATTGATCATTTAATGGATGGACTTTCAATTTCATATAGAGTTGTTTAAGTGTGTAATTGTAGTTATTAGAGATTTTGATTTTGACCGATATTTGAAATAGTTGTTAATATTGATTACTTGTATGAGTCGTACCTCTATTGCTTGGATTAGTACTATACGTGCAACCCGTTTGTTTTAGTTCATTTATAGCTTGTTATTGATTGAAATAAAATTATTTATAGCGTGTTTATAGATTGAAATAAATTTTTTGGTATTGAATTGGAAATTTAATTTCTTGTAGGAACCGTTTGTGAACATCCCAGATGCTGCAATACGTGAAGCTCTAAAAGTTCTCCTAGGTATATATGACTTATAAATAATTTCATCATGCCTAAATTTTTAATCCTAATTTCAAACTTTCCTAGTTTTTTTTTTTTTTTTTTTTTCTTTCTAGTTCAATCTTAACTTGTTTGGGTGTTTTTTGTAATGCAGATGTAAGGAATCATCCAGTTTTGATACACTGCAAAAGAGGAAAGGTATTGCATCTTATAGCATCTATCATATGTGCTTTCGAATTCATTCGAAATATTATTGTCATCAAGATCAATATAAACTAATGGTGGTTGTGTTTTGATCTGTTTCGTTTTGGTCAATTGATCAGCACCGAACAGGCTGCCTGGTGGGATGTCTAAGAAAACTACAGAAGTGGTGCCTGTCATCCATTTTCGACGAATATCAACGTTTTGCAGCAGCAAAAGCTAGAGTCTCAGATCAAAGATTTATAGAGTTGTTTGACACATCTAACTTCAAGCATCTTCCCATTTCCTTTTCTAATTCGAAAAGGTAACTAATTAACCAAGCAAGTCATGGTACATACATACTACTGCCTTAGAATAATTTGGAGAAGGTATGAGTATGTGTTCCTTAAGCACATTTCTGCTACAAAAAAGGCTTATTATTCGATTTTTCGATGATACACTCGATCAATGCGGAAAAATAAAAAGGCATCGTTCATTAGGCTCAAATAGCTACAATAGCCAATATACGTCTCCTCTTTTAGTCCATTTTAGTTTACCTACCATGTGTTATTTTTCTCAAAATGTAGTTAGATTTTACGTGTTGTTTGAAATTTACGTACTTATTTAGCTTAGCTTAGTACTTCATGTAACACTTCTAAGTGATGAAAGACAGTGAAAGCGTTAGGATGACAGATTGACAACTCGTCAATCTTCTCCATATTTATCTAGTTGTTTCTACCAATGATTATTATCATGAAAAAGAACTCGAAAAATAATTGTATTATTCATATAACGTAACTAACCACCCCTATCTATTTGGCAAGTTGAATGTAGCAAAAATGTTGTACTCCTTAGGAAATTGAATGCTTTTTGAATGTACTTGCAAGGAGCTGTCATTGTAAGAAATCTCATCCAAGTGTAGTTATTGTGTAAACCCGAGTATGAAGGTTACGAAAATCATTGTCTTCCTCGATTTTTAGTCGATTATTCGAAGATCTCTACCCTTTCAATAGGGTAATTGCAACTGTGTAATGCTTATTGCTTTAATTTCTATGATATATGAGAATATGACATATATTGATCTTTAATCCTTGAGGTGTTATTTGTGTCTTCCAGAACTTAGTTTTGTTGGTTTTCATTTGCTTTTATAGATGTTGATTTGGACTTGATGGAATGATGGTTAATAATGTTCGTGGATTAGATAATGAGACTGCTGTTTTTTTTTTAGATGTTTGAAATGCTCATTATTAGGGAAAAAAGGGTTCTCTTCAAAATTGTTTGCATTCAGTTACCTTACGAAGTAACGAACTTGCCCTAATCTCTTACTGTTTGTTTATCGTGAAGTATTTTCGTAAATAAATCAATAACTTTATTCGATCACCGACAACGGTGAACTCCTCATTATTAAAAGAATTTGTTGGTTTATTTACGAAAAATGTCTCACTTAGGAAAGAATGAATATTAAAGTGAGTGTTTCGACAATCATCAGCCCAGTCTGTTATGAACCTTGGGCTATTATACCACTTATTGGACCTTGCTCATATAAGTTGGGCCGCTCGTTCACTTGAACTCTCTTTTCATTTTTTCCATAGCTTTCACATTTACTTATTCTATTTATCACTAGCCTATACTTCATACTCTCTCCGTTTCAAATTGGATTAAATATTTTGACTCTTAAATTTTGGAACTATATATAAACTTTGCTTTAACTAGCATTTATTTTCATAGATTTTTGAAAAAATAAAATAAAATCACATTAGATTTGGTTGGATTCATTTTTAATGTATACTTAATTTAAATTTAAATTTAAATATTTTATACTTTCTACGTTTTTTTAATATTGCACCACTTACCTTTTAAGTAAGTTTCACATTTATTGCACCATATCCATTTTAGAAAAAGAAATTTATGTGTTCACACTATAAATACCTAATATACCCTTGCTTTTCAACCCTTTTATTTTGTGCATACAATCACATGGGCAACTTGGTATTTCTACCTTTCTCTCTCATCCTTTTTTCCACTATCAAAAAATTTATGCCAAACCCTTATGGTGCAATAATAAAAGAACGGAGGAAGTACAATAGTTATAATCAAACATATTTTAGATTGAATTTTTCCTTTGTCAAACATGATAAAAAAAATAAAAAAATTGTCATCTAATTTGAACCGAAAGAAGTATAAGTTTTCATACTTTCTTATCCACCGATTATGCCTTATATGCTTGCTAAGCTCTTTATGAATGAAGTCAGAATATTACGGTCGGGTAGAAGCTCTCACTTTTTGCCCATTGGCCTTAGAGGAGGTGTAGACTACAGTGAGTGAGTAGCCCCACTAGGAGGTCAGATATGAGACTATCTCTCCATATGTATTGCAATTACTTTCTCTATATATATATTGCTAAGGGTTCGTTTGGCATCACTGTGGTTTTCTGTTTTTTGGTTTTTTGTTTTATAAAATCATATGATATATATGATGTAATGAATAAAAAATTAGTCAAATTTATTAAAATTATGATAATTTTGAAAACTGACAACCAAAAAGTGGAAACACCTTTTTCTTGTTTCCTGTTTTTGGTTTTTAGTTTTCAAAAAAACAGAAAACTGAAAACAAAAAACAATGCCAAACAAGCCCTAATTTAATAAGTTTTGATTCAAAAAGTTTGACCAATTGTTTATACTAACGCGATTAGACCCAAGAATTTACAACATATACTACCCCTAATTTTCCATCAAATCTAAGCTAGTTTTCCTCCCATTTCAAATGTGTCATCCTCAAGTATGTATTTGTATATGAAAATAGATTCATTATGAATTAAATCTAGAGATTATAAAGTTAATTTTACAACAAAATTCAATATGAATTAAAGCTAGGGACTATAAAGTTAATTTTACAACAAACATATACTTTTGCCCACCCATACCTGGTGGATGAGATTCGAACTCGTGACCTTTGTGTCACGCTGTCTGAGGAGTGAGGACTAACTCGACCAAAAGGTTTAGCTAATGGTTGAAGCTCGGGAATATGTTTTACACTCTATTAAAAAAAATTAATATACGTCGTATATTGAAATTTATGCGTATATTAATATATTCTAATTTTAAATTAGTTATATAAGATAGCCTTTTGATAAAGTTTAAGAATAAAAAATTAACGGTTAAAGCTGATTATAAAAAAGCATCACGAACATCGATACTGTTGTGCGACAGCGGAAGCAAAGGTCGAAAACAAACAAGAAAACAATAAAGAAATTCAATGCAAACAATAAGAACAACACCAAGAATTTACGTGGTTCACTATCGATGTGATAGCTACGTCCACGGGCACCGAGATCGAATGATTTCACTATAAACTGCAAAGATTACAAAGATGATTCTTGTATTTCTCAAGAACGGCTCTCCCTCTCTCTCTCTTAACCCTTATACTAATATTAGGGAGGTTTTATATTAATCCCTAAAATAAAAGATACTTGGGCAAAAAGATAACATAAAAGATAACTTTAAATCGTAAAATCCGCGTCTCCGCATTTTTCCTTCTCCGCCCGGTCTGACCGGGCAAGGTCTGCCCGATCGGGCGCGAGAAGAAAACTCCATACGAATGCTTCAACGTATCCAACCCCCACCGCCCGGTCAGACCGGGCAATGTCCGCCCGATCGGGCGGACAAAGCTACGAAGTACGAGTCACCTAATACTTATCAACAATCTCCACCTTGACGAGAACTCGTAGTCAGCAAACGACCCCATCAAGACATAGTGGAAAAACATCTCAAGCCAAACCCGATGCAAGACTCATGCATAAGCCATACATCCCGATAAGTCTTCAACCAAGACCCATCACATACTCGTCTCCAAGTATAACAACTCATAATGCTCCACCTGCATCACAAGCCCCGGGCAAGCTCCACCTTAAGGCCAACACACCTACACCAGGAGCTCCCCAACTTCGCCCCTCAGGGCCTACTACATCACGTAGTAATCAATATTTAGCAAGTCTAAGCAATGTTTAAACTTGCTAAACGGAACAGGCTTAGTGAAGAAATCAGCCGGGTTGTCAGCAGTCCCAATCTTCTTCACCTTAATCCTCTTGTCAGTACGCAAGAAATGATACCTGACATCAATGTGCTTCGTCCGATCATGGTGTACTTGATCTTTAGCTAAGCAAATCGCACTTAGACTATCACAATACACTGTAGCAAAATCCTGTGCAATACCCAGTTCACCTACTAGGCCTTTGAGCCAAATAGACTCCTTAGCTGCAGAAGTTAAAGCCATATACTCAGCTTCAGTAGTTGACAACGTAACTGATGACTGCAATGTAGACTTCCAACTAACCACAGAACCACCCAAAGTGAACACATAACCAGTCACAGACCTCCTGGTATCCACATCAGCTGCATAATCAGAATCACTGTACCCAGTGACCAAGCATTCCCTACCATTCCCGTACACAAGACCAATATCAGTTGTCCCTCTCAGGTAGCGAAAAATCCTTTTCACCCCTTGCCAGTGTTCCCTCCCAGGTCGAGCCATAAACCTGCTTACAACACTAACAGCATGCGCAATATCCGGCCTAGTACAGACCATAGCATACATCAAACAACCAACCGCGTTTGCATATGGAACTCTAGACATATAAGACAACTCCTCCTCTGATTGAGGTGACATAGACAAAGACAACTTACAACTAACAGTAGTTGGCGTACTTATAGGCTTCGATTTTTCCATCCCAAAACGAGACAAAATCTTTTCAATGTAGCTTTTCTGAGTCAAGAAAAGCTTACCTCTAGCCCGATCCCTGTAGATCTCCATACCCAAAATCTTCCTAGCTGCACCCAAGTCTTTCATGTCAAACTCCGAGTTAAGCATCTCCTTTAATCTAGCAATATCAGATTTATTCTTTGTGGCAACCAACATGTCATCAACATATAACAAAAGATAAATCATGGAACCATTATCCAGCTTACTATGATACACACAGCAATCATATGAATTCCTGTCAAAACCTTGTGAAACCATAAAAGAATCAAACCTTTTGTACCACTGTCGGGGGGATTGCTTAAGTCCATACAATGACTTTAGCAATCTGCAGGCATAGTGTTCCTTTCCAGGAACTTCGAATCCTTCGGGCTGCTTCATCAGAATCTCCTCCTCCAAATCGCCATGAAGGAAAGCCGTTTTAACATCCAACTGCTCCAGCTCAAGATCAAAATGTGCTACAATTGACAATAACACACGGATAGAAGTATGTCGAACCACAGGTGAGAATATCTCAACAAAATCAACCCCTTCTACCTGACTGAACCCCTTAGCAACTAGCCTAGCCTTAAAACGTATTTGCTCAGTTTCCGACAACCCTTCTTTCTTCTTGTAAATCCATTTACAACCCACAAGCTTCCTCCCTTCCGGTACCTTTACCAGTTCCCACACTCTGTTCTTGTAAAGAGACTGCATCTCTTCACCCATTGCGGCAAGCCATTGCGCAGACTCACTACAACTAATTTCTTGTTTATATGTGGCAGGTTCAAATGACTCTACATCATCAGCTACACTCAATGCATAACCTGTCATCGCATCAACACAGCAATTTCTTCCCTCCATCTCTTCAATCAATCTAACAGGCTTCTTGATAACTCGTTTAGGCATCTCAAGAATGGTGTCAGGTTGACTAGATGACCCCTGATTAGATTGCTCCACCTCATCCCCAGAGTTAGAATGAGTAGGAGTAATCTCAGGTTCAGGAGTACCCGGCACTGGAACATCAGCATCATCATCA